TACATGGTTTCCATCAAAGCTCCTTTCCCCTATCTTGTTAAACAGATCCTTGATTGCCAAGACCATTACCCCGGGATTCTCAACTGTACCAAGCATAGTGTACGTCTTTCCAGCTCCGGTTGCTCCATAGCAGAAGACAGACCCATTTCTACCCTGCAGAACTGCTTCCACAAGCTCTGCTGTTCTGGAAGTCCCACAACGTATAATGTTAAGTTCCTTAAAAGCTTAAATTTACTCAGCTCTAAGGAGTTGGTACCATGAAGGAGAAAACGGGATTACAAGTTACAACCCTTTGAAAGATGATGAAAAATGGCTATTGCAACTCATATTACCTCTCATGTTTTGGCATTAAAAGCAATAGTAAATCCTAATTGCCAAAACTATTGAGAACTTCCAAAAGTATTGACTGCATATAGTAAGTCTTCACTACAATAAAAGCACCCAATTAAGCAAATATGGTCCAAATGAAGCCTAGAAAAATTGGAGTAGGGAAGATCTGATGCTGAACTCAAGGAACCCCAAATGCTTCACAATTAATGACTTATCATATAACCAAGTTACACAACTCCACTACATAAAGAATGAACTTTCTACCCGCACGGGCTTAACTCACTGGTTCAGTAGACAGTATTTGGGAGAAGAAACCAAGGCTCGAAACTCAGTAGCGACAGTGTGGGGGTTATGCCCAAAGTTGACAGATCCCTTCACACTGGCATTTGACCCTGTCTGCTGAGCTACTGAGTTATTGTGATTTACGTTCTCTCACATGCTCTACCAGGCCGGGGTGTGGGGGGTCCTTGGGTATACTAAATATGTAAGCCAAGCCACAATAACTAAACACAAGCAGCTGCAAATTTTGGGAAACAAATAAATACTTACAACCAGATATAATCAGCACCATATCAATAAGCATTATGAACTGGAACTAGAAGTGTTCTATTAAGGCATACTGCATACTAACTCAAAGCACATAGAATTGGCTAAAAAACAGTAAAAAAACAAAATAAAATGATCTTACTCACGTTGTGGAATAGACTTGTTGCTGAGAAGCAGAATCTGGAAATGAGGCATCAAAGGTGAAATGGCGATCTCGAAGCCTCTTTAATCCAAGATAATCATTCTCAGTAGCAGGTTCAGTGAGATAAGCATCTTTTCCATTAGCGATTCTCACACAGCTCCTTGCTCCGCCGTCCATCTCCTTCTTAGCCAATGGCCTTAGCCTCACAAAAACAAGAATCCTACTACTACTACTTGCCTCACCCCCATTGCTCACTTTCTCCAACAAACTTTCACTTTCTTGTACATTCTCCCCTCTGGGCTCTGAGCTCACTAATGGGAGCTTCATGGCCCCATTCGCTCTTCTCGGCCAAGAAAACCCGACAATCCTCTCGCCACCGCCGGCCTCCACGGCCACATTTTCCTTCCCCCCCTCCGGCGGCGGCGGGGGCACGTAAGTCCTTGTAACAGTAGAATTAGGAACTGAATTCTCCCTCGTCACATTCAATGAACCCACGATATCCAGGCTAGGTTGTGCACTGAAACTTCGGTTCTTTATAGAGGCTTGCTTTTGCTGCTCATACAAAAGGGTCAGTTCCTTCATCTTCTCCTTCAACCCATGGTGTGGGTTTCTCATCATCTTACAAGACATTTGCCTCTCTTCCTGGTTTTCCAATTTGGGTCCAGTTGTTGGGTCATTTTGATGTCGGCTGCTTGTGTGAGATCTTGTTGAAATGGGCATTTTCTGTGGCAAAAACCCACCCGAGTCCCTACCAAAACATCACCATTTTGTTGCCCATTTTTTCTTTATGTGTTTCGATCGAGATAAAGTTCACAGCTTTCGTCGGAAAATTCAAAAATATTGATGCCTGCAGCGATTGGGGGTAGAGATTAAAGAACAAGATTTTGTGTGTGAATTTGGGGTTTTATCAGGAGAAATATCAGCCGTTGATATGCAGTACGTAGTTGATTAACGATTGGTAATAAAGCGGGGAGGGAGAAATTCAAAGATGCCAGATGGTCTCTATGAAAGGAAACAAGTTCTTTCCAAAAGGTTAAATTGCATTTACTTTACCTTTCCAATTTTCTTTCTTCTTCTTTTACTTTAATTTTTATTTTTAAATTTAAAATATTAATAAATCCGGAATACATTTTTTGTTTTTACTTTTCAAACAAAAAAAAAAACTCATTGATTATGATCACAATGTGTGGTTTATCTAATATGCACTATCGAATAGTAACTGGGAATTTTTCACGTCACTAAAAAAAACGCATTCTAGGGAAAAAGAAAGAAATGTGTCCCAAGGTATTGACATAATTATACTATACTAGCCCGCGGCGTGGGTACTCTTGAGGTTCGGGATTCGACATTATATGTTTTAATAATGCATAATTCACAGTAAAATTCACCCGTGAACCCTTATTCGTGAGGCGGATCAGGTCAAGATGAATGTAATACTTATACTAGCAAATGTAATACTAAATCAAGAATAAAATGTTTATTACTTATATGAGAAAATGTAATACTTTTACATTTTGATGTAAACATATTACATTTTCCATCAAAAGCATTACATTTTTCTTTATAAGTGCAACATTACTTATAAGAGAAAATATAATACTTTTAATGAAAAAAATAATACTTTTACATCGAAATATAAAAGTATTACATTTGTCATCAAAAGTATTACGTTTTTTCTTATAAGACCATCTCCAAGGGGTGCGGTAAAGCACCAAAATGGAGGAAAATATTCCGCAACGCAGCTCCAATCAACACGGCAACGCATTATTTTTTTGGCGCAGTGTGAACAGTGCAGCGCTATATTTGGCACTACACTGTTCATCCAACACCATTTTTAGTGCAGAATTTTGTTTCCCATTTTGCCCATGTTTTGTTCTTGTTCATTTTTTTATAATTCCGTTTATATCATCTTTGTTTTTTTTTTAATATATATTTACATATTTTGTTAAATAGCTAAACATAAATTGTATATTATTAAAAAATATATATATCATTTGAAAGATATCATCAAAACGATTAAAACAAGACTAATATTGAATATAATTTAGTCTCTGCCTCCATCGTCAGTCGCCCACGGCCTCTGCCTCCAACCACCGGCCAGTTATTGATTTTAATTTTAATTACTCCGTAGCCATGGAGTACTGGAGTAACTGGACTGCAGTCTTGAGTTTTTACAGTACTTTTGTGAATACGCATTTAAAAAAAAAAAATACATTGTGTATAATGTTTATCATTATATAGTTGTGTAGTAGTTATTACTTTATTATTATAAATGTTGTTATATTCTAAACAAAACAATTAAGATGTTTAATTATACAATTTTATTAATTTTTTGAAAGATAAAACCAAATACACCAAAACAATTTTCTGAAATGCAACCAACCACAAGAAATGAAAATACTTTATAGAAAATGACTCATTTTTCATAAAATATTTTCCAAAAGTCATTTCCATGTTTTCCAACATACCCTTAACTTAAAAAATTCTCAAATATAATTTGATAAATTAAAATTTGTAAACATCTTTGAATGGGAAAATTTCAACAAATTATATCATTCATTAAGGTTCACCTTGCACTATGGACCTGAGTCGAAAATGACATTCAAATTATTTGTCTGCAGTTAAAATATTATGTGATTGTAAATAAATTGAAGGCACATAATATGTTAACTACAGACACATAATACGTTAACTACATGCACATAATATGTTAACTACAAGCACATAATATGTTAACTGCAAGCACATAATATGTTAAACTACAAGCACATAATATGTTACTTGAAGGCAAATAATATGTTAATTACATCTAATGTATATGTAGTTAATATATTATATGTTCCTATATGCAGTTAACATATTATGTGCTTGTATTACAAAGACATAATATGTTAATTGCAATCACATAATATGTTAATAATTGTAAACATATAATTTTTTGACCATAGTCCACAATACAAGGTGGACCCTAGCCATGGTATAATAATTGTCAAATCTCCTATGAGATCGTCTCACAAATTCTCATCGTGAGGCCAATTGAATTTTTCATAAGTATTACATTTTCCTTCATAAGTATTACGGAGTAAAATTTTTCACATAAGTAACTCTTTAATCCCTAATACTACATTATAATTTAAAAGTATGATATTTTTCATAAAAGTATCACATTTTTCCTTATAAGTATTACACGTTATCTCATAAATAACAACCAATCAATTTATCCCTAATCAATATCACATTTTTTCTCATAAATAATTGTTCAACACCTAAATATTACATTTGATTTAAAAGTATAATATTTTTTTCTTAAAAGTATTACTTTTCCCTTATAGTTAACAAATTAAACAATTTATTCTTGATTAGTATCATATTCTTCAACATGAGTATTACATTTACGTCCTGATTTGACCGATCTTATAAATAAAGATTTGTGAGACATTCTCATTAGAGACTCACCCTTAAAATTTAAGATGATTTTGGCTTAAAAGTGAAACATTACGTTGCTAATATTTTTTTTTTTTGAAAGGAATTACGTTACTAATATATTTGTACATAAATGAAAAAGTTAAAAAGAAAAGATAGTAAATTTGACAATAATGTCTTATCATTTGTAAAATGAATAAATCAAAATGTAAAGTTATTTATGTGCATATACCAAGAGATGTGGGTGTTAGCTTAGTACATAATATTATTATTATTTTTTTTGTAAATATAAATTTTATGATAATTGTATACATTATTATTTAACAAAAAATAATAATTTCTTTTTTTCTCTCTCTATATTATTCAAATATATGACAATTAAATTTTATCATTGTAAAGATTTATACAACAGATAGATTATCCATCAATAAAATATTGAGTTTAAGTTTGGGAAGAATAAAAAAATATTGAGTTTTCTTGATTCTGTTAACCTTTCCTTTTCTTCCCCAATAAGCAGATTCTAGACCCTTCTCAACCTGGCAACCGAGAATAGGTACTCCTTTTAATTCACTGAATTTCATACGTCTATTATATCATTTTGCAGTGAATCAATCTCACGACGAATTATACCTCATAGGTTTGAGTTTTCCATCGGCTAATTGATGGATAGAGGACGGAGAAGGGGGGGTTCAGTCTCTCGTGGCATGCTTCCACTGCTGGCGCTGCACGCCGTGGCCGAGTACAGCAGGCTCGACCGGAAACCGCCCGTCACGGCGGGCCTTGTGGCGGCGAACACCATCATTTACTTGAGGCCCAATTTCCTTGATCAGATCATCCCTTACATTGATGAGGTCTGGTTTAATCCCCACATTATCGTTAAGGTACACCCTCCTTCGCAAACCTTTATGTTTTTTGTGGACTTAAATTGGATTACATTGATTTCATCTAGAATCGATGGAGTAACGTTTTCTTTTGATTTACTCTGCTGCGTTTTTGCTCTTTTTATTAGTATTATTAATATTATTAATATTAATATTGTGATGCTATCAAATTCAAAAATGGGATTGAGATTGTGCGCTCTTATTATCTCATAGTTTATTTCTGTGTAGTAGGATTGAATTTAACATGTATGATCTAAAATTTTAATGTTCTCAAACTTCAATACATAGGCCAGTTTCATGTTTTCATATCTAATATGGGAATGAGAACCAAAATAATTCCAAGAATAAACCTGTTCAGTTATTAATCCATTTTATGCCAAACTACTTGGGTTCTTGGTACCAAGTGGTAGATTTCCAGCTGAGGATGAATATATGCACAAAATTTACTTAACCAAATGTAACAAGATTGGGGAGCAAGCCACATTTGTTAAGTAATGTCATCTGGAAGTTGTCAATAAAATTCATATTTTGTATGCAAAGTGCAAAGCTTCTAGTGAAACTCTTTGGCCTTAGAAATAAATTGGGGAGTAGGGTCTGTACAGAAATATGACTAAAACTGGCAGAAGCCTAGTTAAGTGAAGGTATTACCCAATTGGTTTTGCTGACTGCCTGACTTAGCATGGCTTCTATAGATAGTTTGAATCCTGATATTGCCTTGGTGGATATGTGCCATGATAAGTTGGCAGTTCTTTCCATCCTGATTAATGTGTGTATGCATTTAGCTATAAGATGAAGTGAAAATTTTAATGTGCATCAGTGCATGTCTTTAAGAAAGACTGACAAAATAAAAGCTTCCTTACTATAAACATTTTCTATGTTTTAGGATAATGGTTTTTCCAGATTTTGAGAGAATTGAAGGGATATTATCATATTAATATACTCTCAGCTGCAAACTCTAGCTACAAACCTCTATATGTAGCCTTGTAAAGAGATGTACAGAATACTATAACATGAAATAAGTAATCAGCAAACTTGTTAAAAGCGACGGCGGATTGCGTCGCCTGGGCAAGGTGCAGCTGCGTGGAGAAGTGCGCACCTGAACGCGCTTTTCCAGCGAGGCGTCGAAGCGGCCAAAACCAAGCTTTTCCACACGAACCACAAGTCAACGGTCCAAAGAAAAAAATGGCGATTCGCGGAACCCTTCTGCCTCACACCTCATTTCAACTTCTCGAAACCCTCTACTTTGTGCCTTTGCTCACTGCCTCACCCATCCGTTACTCCGTCCATCACCCATCCGTGACTCCGTCCATCACGCCTTCGAAGTTCGACCATTGCTGACCTTCCTCGCCGCTGCCTCGCCTGCCTCCTGCTCAGGCCGAGCTCACATTCTTGAGCCCGAGATAAATCGCTGCTTCTCGCCTTTTTTTTTTTTTTTTTCCTCTATCTCTCTCTTCTTACGTTGAAGAAGACGACTATGTGTCTGAGTCATGTTAAAATGTTAAATAGAGTTGGAGTCTTACTCTTGGTTGGACACTTGGCAGTAGGCAGTAGCATTTACAGTTTACACATTTTTTTTTTTTTCATTTATTGTGTTAAATTATGTTTTAAAATTAGTATAATTAAAATCTTCAATTACAATTTAGTGAATTTACATTTAATTCAATTTAGTGACTAAATGTCTTGAATGACTTTATTTTGATGACTAAACTTTGTATTATTATGATATTGTGACTTTAGGAGTTTCTATTATGCTATTTTGCATTACTATTTGAGTATTTTGAGTGTGTGTGTGTGTGTGTGTGTATATATATATATATATATATATATATATATATATATATAAAGCATCTCTTTATGTGAAAAAGCAATGCTTCGCTTTGTGCTTTCGCTTTAAAGCAAAGCCCGGGCTCATCGCTTTGGTGTGCTTTTTCTCTTTAAAAAGTTTGGTAATCAGTCTTATATCCATGCATTTGGACAAATTTGCCTTCTTGAATTTTTTGGTAAACAGAATAACATAAATAGGGAAAATTGCACTTTTGGTCCTCAGTTAACACTAAAGTGCTGCTTTTGGTCCTCACTCTCCGGGCATCAAAGGAATACATGAAAAAATTTTCAATTTGGAGTTTTCTTTAGTCCAATGATCCTTTGCTAGCCATGGATGTTCTGTCCTCACTCTGATCGGCAGGTTACCTGTTTGGGGATCAAAAGTTGAGGCATCAACAATAGAGACTGAGTCTATATACTCCCTCCCATAATTGAGGGACCAAATGTGCTATAAATAAAAGATGTAGATCCGTGATTTAACAATGGAAGAATTTAAATAAAAGCAAAGAAAGATGCAATTTAATCCTTTTTCTTCAAGTTCAATGTCTTATTACCATTCTTCCACCCTCCTGCGATATCTTCTCTCTCTCTCTCTCTCTCTCTCTCTAATAATTTCAGTCCTTGTTTTCTTAATGCATTTGCTACTGCTTCAGTCCAAAATTATCATACTCCATGCCCTTTTATGTCAAGTCTGCTCCGTTGTTTAACTCATTTATGTAGTATTCCAATTTTTTTGATATTGTTATATCCCATCTATACTGGATTATAGTATTTGAAATATCTGCACTTTAATAGAGAAGTTGCTTATATCTGTGTTATTTGATTTTGGAAGTTATGCTGCTAAGAGCTATCTGTGTGACCATCCTGATAGTGCTTTTATTTTCCTTTTGCAGTACAAGGATCTTAAGCGGTTTTTCCTTTCTGCATTCTACCATATCAATGAATCTCACTTGGTGTACAATATGCTGTCACTTCTATGGAAGGGAATTCAGTTGGAAAGGTCAATGGGAAGCGCAAAATTTGCGTCCATGGTTGCAGCTTTAGTTCCTATGTCCCAAGGCATCACGTTGTTGCTTGCCAAATTTCTTGTTTTGTTCTTTGACTATGACAGCCCCTATTACAAGGAATATGGTGTGGGGTTTTCTGGTGTCCTCTTTGCAATGAAAGTTATTTTGAATGCACAGTCAGGGGATTATACATATGTACATGGTCTGATGGTACCTGCTCGCTATGCTGCTTGGGCTGAACTTATTCTCATCCAGATGTTTGTTCCTAGTGTCTCTTTCATTGGCCATCTTGGTGGAATACTTGCGGGCCTTGTATATTTACATTTAAAAGGGTCCTATTCAGGTTCTAATCCACTGATAAAAATTGTCCGTAGTTTCATTAGTGCTGTGAGCTTGCCTTTAAAGTTCTTGTGGGGCTCAGGATGGTTCCAACGAAGAGTTTATGGTCAGGGAGCTGTAGGTGGTAGGTCAGATAGAAATACATCTGATGTATGGAGATGCCAAGCATGTACATATGATAATCCAGGAATTTTAAATGTTTGTGAGATGTGTGGGACAGATCGCTTTGAAAACTCTTCTTTGCACTCACCAAGGAGCGAGATTCAAGACATTCCTTTGGAGGAATTACGACGTCGGAGAGTTGAACGATTTGGTGGACTATAGTATTTGGACTTCAGACGGTATTTTGCTTCTCTATTTTCTCTCTTGGTGTTTATCACTTCGTGTCTCCTCTGTTTTTGTTATCCTCAATGCTGTATGTTCTGTGCCCTACTATTCTTCATGCCCCTAATGTTTATCTTCTTATCATTTATGTATATGATCTGCATGAATTTGTGGGAAGAAATGATGAGAAATGGTAGTCCATTGCTGAATTAGGTGTGTCATGCATTTTGGGAAAAAAATGTTTGATTTGTGTTTTGTTGTGTACTTTAAGGGGCCGTTTGGTTCACGGAATGTTAGATTACCTTAGGAAATGTTAGATTGCTGGGAATGTTAGATTCCTGTGTTTAGATAAATTGAGGTATGTAATATAATCATGTTTGGTTTAAGGTTATAATATATATATATATATATATATATATATATATATATATATATATATATATATATATATATATATATATATCCTTAACATATTTTCATCTATTTTAATAAATTTAAAAATTAAATGAAATAAATAAGATAACGGTATCATATATAATTACATGATTATAAAATATTAACTAAAATCTTGAACTTGAGAAACAAAATTATTTTATATGCTAACATAACGTAATAAAAAATATATAATATAATTACCAAATAATTATATATATATATATATATATATATATATATATATATATTAATAATAATTGTTAAGTGTTGAAACACAAGAAACAGTGTATACTCTCATATATTTCTGTACAAGAGAACTCCTATTTATACAAAGGTTGGAAGAGCTCCAGCCACAGGATTTGAAATTCAAACAAGAGAAAAACCACCTAACTCTAACTAACCCTTATTCATCTAACACTCCCCCTCAAGCTGGAGCATAGATGTTAATCATGCCCAGCTTGTTACAAATATACTCAACCCTAGCTCTACAGAGGCCTTTTGTAAGCACATCCGCTAGCTGATCACCAGTTCGGACATGGACAGCAGAAAGTAGCCCTTGTTGAATCTTGTCCCGCACAAAGTGACAATCTACCTCAATATGTTTCGTGCGCTCATGAAACACAGGATTGCTCGAAATGTGTATAGCGGCTTTGTTGTCACACCATAAAGGAACTGGTTTACTCACTTCTACACCAATCTCACCAAGGATATTACACAACCACGTCACCTCACACGCCACATGAGCCATTGCTCTATACTCAGATTCTGCACTCGAGCGGGCCACAACACTTTGCTTCTTACTTTTCCACGACACTAGGTTGCCACCAAGGAACACACAATACCCCGTCGTTGACCTCCTGTCACTCGGTGACCCAGCCCAATCAGCGTCAGAGAAGGCCTCAACCCTCACATGCCCATGATTGGCATACAAAATTCCTTTCCCAGGAGCACCCTTCAAATACTTCACAACTCAAACTGCAGCTTCCCAATGGATTTTCTCCGGATTTGCCATGAACTGACTCACCACACTCACCGGAAAGGCAATATCCGGGCGAGTGATAGTAAGGTAATTCAATTTCCCCACCAATCTCCTATACCGCTCTGGATCTTCAAGAGGCTCCCCCTCACCGGCTACAAGCTTAACACTCTGGTCCATAGGAGTCTCGCAAGGCTTCGAGCCTAAGAGCCCAGAGTCTTCAAGTAAATCTAGCACATATTTCCGTTGTGAAAGAAATATGCCTCTCTTAGAACGGACAACCTCTATTCCAAGGAAGTACTTTAACACTCCCAGGTCTTTCGTATGAAACTTCTTCTTAAGAAAAGACTTGAGCGCATCAATTCCCGCTGCATCACCACCTGTGATTACTATATCATCCACATAGACAATTAACAAAATGCTGCCACGGTTAGAATGTTTATAAAAAACAGTATGATCATAGGCACTACGCTGCATGCCAAACTCAATAACAACACTACTGAACCTCCCAAACCACGCTCTGGGAGACTGTCTTAACCCGTACAAAGACTTCTTCAACTTGCAAACCTTCTCGTTCTCCCCCTGAGCAACAAACCCAGGCGGTTGCTCCATATACACTTCCTCTGCCAAATCACCATGTAAAAAGGCATTTTTGACATCTAACTGGTGTAACGGCCAATCATTAACAGCAGCTAGAGAAATGAAAACCCGCACAGAAGTTAACTTGGCAACCGGTGAAAAAGTCTCCATATAATCAACTCCATAAGTCTGCGCATACCCTTTCGCCACCAACCATGCTTTAAGCCGAGCAACCGAACCATCAGGGTTCGTCTTGACAACGTAAACCCACTTACACCCAATTGCCGACTTCCCGACGGGGAGATGGACAAGATCCCAAGTCTGATTCTCTTCTAGGGCTGCCATTTCTTCCTCCATAGCAGATTTCCACCCATCATGAGACATAGCCTGACACAACGTTTTAGGGATAGACACAGAATCTAGTTTGGATATAAAGGTACGAGAAGACTCTGACAGACGACCATAAAAAACATAGGAAGAAAGCGGATGACAGCAACTACGTTTACCTTTTCGAACGGCAATTGGAAGATCAGTTGACGGAGGTTGTGGTAAGGGAGGAGCATTCGCCGTTGGCGCCACTACATCTCGGGGCCGCCTAGAATACACTTGCGTAACGGGGGGTACGACACCAGAATCAGGACCCACTGCGGGTACAGGAATAGTGATAGTATAAGTAAGAAAATCCCCTTCTATCCCCGACGACTTATCCCCGGGAACGCTATCAGAGAACACAGTTTCCTCAAAGAACGTGACGTCAGCCGAAACCAGATATCTCCCCAAATCAGGAGAGTAACACCTATACCCTTTTTGAGTTCGAGAATACCCCAGGAAGATACACTTAAGAGATTTAGGATCAAGTTTTCCCTTTAGTGGACGAACATCCTGTACAAAGCACGTACAACCAAAAATCTTGGGGGACAGGGCAAACAAAGGTTTGGAGGGATACACAACTGAATATGGGTTTTGACCACGGAGTACAGAGGAAGGCATCCTGTTGATAACGAAACAAGCAGTGTGAACAGCATCTGCCCAAAACACTTTAGGCACTTTCATTTGGAATAAAAGGGCACGAGCAACTTCTAACAAGTGGCGGTTTTTTCTTTCCGCGACACCATTCTGTTGGGGGGTGTAAACACAGGAAGTTTGATGTATGATACCATTTTGACTCATAAAGGTAGAAAAGGAATTAAGAAGATACTCTCGAGCATTATCACTTCTCAAACATTGTATAGTCTTATTAAACTGAGTTTTCACTTCAGCACAGAAGCTTTGGAAAACATCAAACAATTCACCCCTGGACTTCATGAGATACAACCAAGTACACCTAGAGAAGTCATCAACAAAAGTTACAAAATACCGAAAACCATGTTTGGACGTAACCCGACACGGACCCCAAACATCAGAATGAACTAACTCGAATAAAGAATCTACTCTATTATTTACCCGAGAAACATAAGGAACACGATGGTGTTTTGCAAACTCACACGACTCGCACTGCAAGATAGTCAAAGCCTCTAAACCAGGACACATCTTCTTGAGCACTGGTAAAGACGGGTGGCCAAACCGACAGTGCAATTGAAAGGGGGAAACGTTGCTCACCAAACCAGTAGAGACGTTCTCGAGTGATGTAGACTGCTCTAAGACATACAGACCGTCAACCTCCTTCCCCTTACCAATAATCCTCCTCGTCAAAAGATCCTGGAACAGACAATAACCAGGAAAAAACGTAACAGAACATTTCAGGTTACGAGTTATTTGACTAATCGAGAGTAAGTTGAAGGGAAATTTTGGGAGGTATAACACAGAAGCAAGGGGTAATGAGGACGTTGCAACGGCACTACCTTTACCCGAAACAGTGGCTATAGACCCATCTGCTAGAGTAACGGTATGACTAGAAGTGACAGGCAAATATGTAGAAAGAACATTGTAATTACCTGTCATATGCTCAGAAGCCCCTGAGTCAATGACCCACTGTCGAGGCGCAGAAGAGACACACGCAACTGAATTACCTGTTTGGACAAACGTTGCCGAGGCGCAGAACTCAGCACGACGAGGCGAGACTGGAGCAGGAAAAAATCGACCGGCGAAGTCGCCGGAAACCGCCTCACGCGCCGGCGCGTGGCGTCGGAGCTGCTCGGTGACGGCGGCGCGTGAGGGCGCGTGGCTGCACCGACGGCGGCCGGACTTCTTGGCGCAGCGTCGCACGTCCTCCCTCGACCTAGCCCAGGCACTCACTCTCACTAACTCAGCTCTGATACCATGTTAAGTGTTGAAACACAAGAAACAGTGTATACTCTCATATATTTCTGTACAAGAGAACTCCTATTTATACAAAGGTTGGAAGAGCTCCAGCCACAGGATTTGAAATTCAAACAAGAGAAAAACCACCTAACTCTAACTAACCCTTATTCATCTAACAATAATAATAATAATAGTAAGCTAACATAAAATATATATCTTTAAATTTTTAGAATTAAAATGACAAAATTTATAAATATCTAGGGGCCGTTTGGTTCACGGAATGTTAGATTACCTTAGGGAATGTTAGATTGCTGGGAATGTTAGATTCCTGTGTTTGGTTAAAATTGAGGTATGTAATATAATCATGTTTGGTTTAGGGTTATCTTTTATATATATATATATATATATATATATATATATATATATATATATATATATAAATTAAATAAATAAGATAACGATATCATATATAATTACATGATTTTAAAATATTAACTAAAATCTTGAACTTGAGAAACAAAATTATTTTATATGCTAACGTAATAAAAAATATATAATATAATTACAAAAATAATTATATATAATAATAATATAAAATATATATCTTTAAATAATTAGAATTAAAATGACAAAATTTATGAATATACAAGGTTTTACATTACCTAACAAAATGAAGGGAATCACATTCCCTTCAAAATCCTATGTGGAGGGAATGTTGCATTCCCTGGGAATGTTATATTCCCTCAGAGAATATGAACCAAACATAGGTATGTAAGCTCGGGAATGTCAGATTCCCTTGGTTATATAATATAACCTGAACCAAACGCCCCCCTAAGGTTATCTTACATAACCTAACAAAATGAAGGGAATCACATTCCCTTCAAAATCCTATGTGGAGGGAATGTTCCATTCCCTGGAAATGTTATATTCCCTGAGAGAATATGAACCAAACATAGGAATATAAACTCGGGAATGTCACATTCCCTTGGTTATGTAATATAACCTGAACCAAACGCCCCCTAACTATTACTTGCATATTATGAAATTGCTATCCGTAGACTTAAATTCATTTTTATTCCTGAATCCCGATCTCTGTTTGTGCAGGCCACTGACCGTAATTTACCATTGAAAATAATAATAACAACAACATTAAGGGGTCTTATCTTATTTGTCACTCTCCAAAAAAATAAAATTTCATTTTCAGATATTTAACTTAAAAAATATATATATATATATATAACAAAGTGGGAGACAAATATGTTTCAAGAAGAGAGATAGTTTAATACGAAATTAAAACGTTGTACTCTTTTAGATTTTGGAGCAAAGAGCAATATGCTATCTGTTGGTTGTATTGCAGCAGTCTTCAAGGTCAGATTGGGTTTATCTTTTGTTGTGCAATGGTACTACTTGATAGCTCTAATGTTATATGTTCTCACTTAATAAGGTTGTTGATACAAGTGTTTGTTTGTGGCAGGTAGGTTCTGTAGAATCAGATGGAATGAAACTTGGGCTAATGCTATAGGCTTAAAAGTTCAAGGTTGATATTCTAATTTAGTCTGGGATGACTAGAATATATTTTGTTAACATTAATTTGTTTTATTTTTGTTCATCAGGCGCAAGTTTTCTTGAGATACCAGGATAGTGGGTGGGATACATACTAATGCATTGTTGGATACTTGGATTATGTTGAATTTTAGATTGATCCAAGCCATAACAGGTAAATCTTGCCTTCTTATGTGAAGGGGGTTTAGTTTTAAAGCTGTGTAATTGGCTTCAAATGTTGCAGAAAAATATTCTTTTTCTGTATTTTGTAATTTTGCAGAGTGATTGATGATCTAAAACAACTTTTAAGAAATTTTACCAATATTCTATTTTAGTTTAAAGTTCAAATAGATCAACTTAATCATTGCATTTTTACAGCTTCAGATTTGGAATACTATGATTTGTTACTTCTATACTTCCATCTCTAAGTGGACCGATCATATATGATATATGTATCTAGTGAAATGAAAATTCATATAGCACGATATATCATAGGGGTCGTTTGGTTATGAACTACTTTTGTCGAACTCTTCGGGTTTTGCTAGGACCAAAGGTTTCTACTTGTAGCAGTGCAAATTCAATTATGAGCCAGTGTTATTCTTATGCTTTTCTAGCTATGATAATATGTGTTCAAATCAGATTAGCAGCATCAAAATCAAGTTAATACATTGTTGGTGAGGTCCGATGGAGTACCTGCTTACTGTAGTAGCTCGACATTTTTGTAATTGAAAAAAAAAAAAAAAACTTTTTTCCAATCTGCGTGTAAGTGGAGAAGAATTTTTTTTTTTTTCTATTTAGGGAAAAAAGTGTATGTAAACACTTTTTTTTTTTTTTTTTTCAAAAAATGTTTACTAATTAGAACTTTTTAATGATATATTTTTTTATACATTAATTTTATTTTTAGAAAAAAAAAAAAGAAAAGAAAACAAAATAAATTTAAGTTTGGAATAAATTTACTGATAGTTTGGTTCACGGAATGAATAGAAATACTATTCAACAGGAAATAAAATAAAAATCATTATTCCATTGTTTGGTTCACCTAAGGTATAGACTTCATGAATTATATTACAATGTTAGATTGGTTTAAGGATAAAAACGGAATAAGTATTCAATTGACATAAATATCCTTCAAACGGAATGTTTACACATGTGTGTGAGAAAGAATAATAATAATAATAATAATAATAATAATAATAATAATAATAATAATAATAATAATACATACATACATACATATAATAATAACAATAACAACAACAATACTACACCTTAGGAATGACTACCATCTACAAAGAGAATAACTCAGCTTATTTCCAAAAATAAAAGGCCAAAGACAAACAATAGAATATGTCTATTCTCGGGAATGGTAGTATTACATTTCCAACCTATTCTATGAACTAAATGCTGATGGAGAAAAAACATGAATGCCTTGGATGCATATTCCTACATGCATCGTGGTCTATAATATAACTATTGTTTGGGTGATGAAGAAATCACACTAGTAAGATTTTGTGCACGGGCTTGACCAAGAGGGTGTAGGTAAGAATCGAACTCGTGACCTTTAGATACGATAATCATGCTCCACCTACTTGGCCATCTATGTTGTGTTTATAATATAACTATTGTTGTTTTTGTATTGATGAATAAGTCGATCATACAAATTTATTTATAAAAATAAATAAAATAAAGGGTTTGAATTTTGAGAATATAAACCCAGCGGAGAAAATAACGAAACAAAGAAAATCCAAGTCGTGTGTAACACACTTCATAAAATTAATTTGCTACCTTCCGATGGTGTTAGTAGTATTGTAGCGTCAGTCTCATAGGATAAAATGGATTACAGTAATATAATTGAGCACTCAAACTATATTACTTTCGACGAACTAAAACATGAGAACATTTTTTTTATTTTTTTATTTTTATAAGTGTTGACAAAATTTTGATAGAAAATGATTTTCGGGGAGGGAAAAACAAAGAGTTTTGAAGTTCTCAAAATCAATAGCTAACAATTTTGCCCAATACCAAAGTATTTATAAGAGAAGGAGAAATAAATACGGAGTAGTAATAAACAATGACATTTAACATATGATTTAAAATGAGTTAATACCCAAAATCGTCCTCGACTATAGTGGTTTTTCTCAATTTCGTCCTAAACGACTTTGGTGACCTAATATCGTCCCAGACTTTTGTGTTTCGCTCAATTTAGTCCTCCATTTGTTATTCCGTCAAATTGGTGTTAATTTTAGGGACAATTCAGTAATGTCAATATTGATCTCTCTTTACTTTCAACTTGTGAAGTGCGAAATTCCTCTTTCTTGTACGAATTACACCCAGAATTACTCCTGGACCTGCAAATCAAATTTTATATTTGCAGTTTTAGGAGTAATTCTTGGACTAATTCGTAAAAAAAAAAGGGATTTCGCAGTTCACATGTCTATGAGTAAAGAGATGCCAATATTAAAATTACTTAATTGTCTATTTATTTAACACCAAATGGATAGAATAACAAATGAGGGACTAAATTGAGCAAAAACACAAAAGTATGGGACAAAATTGAGCGAAACATAAAAGTCTGGGACGATATTAGGTCACCAAAGTCGTTTAGGACGAAATTGAGAAAAACCACTATAGTCGAGGACGATTTTGGGTATTAACTCGATTTAAAATCATATTTGTAACTTTTATTATAACCTACAACTTAATATGGAATTTAACATATTGCTTACGATCGTTAATTCAAAAACTTAAATTGGAATTAATATAAATTAATTCCAAAAACTGACTAGAATTAATATGATTTCATAACGGTACATTCGAAAGGTGAAACCTGAAAAGTTACATCCGAAAGGTTATTCACCAAGAAGTAAAACACACTTCTCGACGTTAACCGAGAGGTGAATTTACCTCTCGACATTAGCGAATCCACTACATTATACTTTGACTTCATGTAGTCAACAAAAACAACACTCATTCTGAGGAGTTGTTTAATGATATTATATTTACGACGTATACGCCTAAACTTAGTATTATACATGTTACTTTCTACCATACCAATTGCATCTTGACTATCACAATGCACACAAATTGGAGGTACATGTTTTTCCATGAGGGATTGTCTGATGATGAATATATATAATATAATTTTCCTATGTTGCGAGGATATACGATTCTTGACTAAGCTATTACATAGCTTACAAAAGAATTTTTACACACTTAAAATCTCAAGTTACTCCCTTTGGTGAATTTCTCATAACAACAATATGAGAAATTTGACATCTTATTGTATTTCAAACGTTATGGTTCAATTACCCTTGTTGCTTAGTAAGAAAAATCACAAACTTTTAGAATAGTGTGTTTTACACGCTTGAATACGGTGATCAAGTGTTCCCTTGTTTGTACTGAATCTTATGTTCCTTATACGAGACCCAGGTTCCTAACAAGTCATATGAGATTTATTTAAATGCTTTTGGAATTGGAAAATCTCGAAATATGAGAGTGTGAATTATAAAATAATGTCGTGAATGTGATTTTAATATAAGAAGAATAATAAGATTCGAATTTCTTATTTTACCCCTCTAATAATATGGGATTTGTGGGGTTTCCGTCAAGTTGAGATGGAAACCTAATGTCGGTAACCAAACTCACCACTTTACTCATAACTGGGGGTAAAAAATGGATATAGTCATAACTGAAAGATTGAGTCAAACAGGGACCAAAGATGCAATTTCCTTTTTTATTTTTATTTTTATTTTTTTATTTTAAAGACAAATAAAGAAAACGGATTAACTTCGGCAAATTTTAATGTGGACGTGGTCCACGTAGCAACGTTGACCAGGTAGAAAAACAACGTCGTTTGAAACTTTTTCCGTTAACATTGGTAAACGATAAATTCCGTTATGGTCCATGTAACGACCTATCTTGTTTTTCAGTTTCATTTTATACACACTTTAGTTTCATTACAACACTACTAAAGTATCAATATTATTCAATTATAGTTTCATTTGACAATATACAATCAATATGTGAGACTTGCTGTTCAGTTTCATTTTATATACATTGTAGTTCCATTAATTACAGTATCACTAAAGTACCATTTTTTATATAGAAAGGAGGGGTAAACCCAAAATAGAGTACATCCAGTTTTTAAAGGAGAAGATATAGATTTATGAAGGACCATACCAAGGTTGGAGTACAGAGCCCTCAAAGTTGATGCCATATCTGTTACACATCATAGTCAATTCACGTTAATTGTTGATTCAACTATCATGATTTTTCTTGACAATTTAAATTCAGCTCCCATGAATATGTGCGCTCCACACTTCAATGATACAAAATGAGTATAAGTCTTCTATATTTTTTAATGAACTTGGAACTTTAAAGACTGCTGGCTTAATTCCTTTCTCCCTTTTTATTTTTATTTTTTAAGACAAATTTGAATTGAGTACTGTATTTAGAAGTAAATTATGCATTCTACTTGGTAGTTGGAGCTTTGCTTTATCTGAAACAATATATGATATCAACCTCTCATCTTATTGCCAAGAGAGAAGAGCTTCTGGGCCTGTTGAAATCTTCAGTGAACAGTCTCAGCTGATTAGGAATGGCTCTGCTCATGAGGACAATATTGTTGTGAACTCAATATTACTTGCTAATGCACATGACTCCGTAGAATCCGATTTGAATGGTGCTCCATTTATAAAACAATGGATGAATCTCATACCGTAATTAATGAAGCAATCCCCTTAGGGAGAAAGATGACGAAATATACACTCAATACTTGAAAGGACACATTTACCCCTCAAATTAACGTCCACTTAATCTTCATTTGACGGAAGGACCCACATTGAAATGAATTCTAAAGTCAAGTGTCTAAAGTGTCCAAATTAAAATTCGGGGACCAATTATAGAAAATCAACCTAGTCGGAGGACCATTGGTCCATTGATGGAATTAACTCTATATACTTATTATCTGGGGCCTTCTATTTAATTTCATTTTATACACATTGTAGTTTCATTATAACATTATTAAAATATTATTATAATTCAACTACAGCTTCATTTAATAATATACACTCAATATATAAAATCTGTTATTCAATTTAATTTTATTGATACTGCTAATTATACGTAAGCAATATAGAATAAACCCGAGACCAATCAAAGCGAATAAATGTCTTTATTGATCATGGTAAAGGCCCTAAGTACAATCTACTTGGTTGCTCTGAGTGCCGACTGACTGCGGTCGGGATTCTCTAACAACAACCTATCGATCGTCCAAAAAAGTCCTCTACACTGTAGCTACTGTGGGTATTTATAGCCGCTGTGCCTGGAGACATG